TAAAAACAAATTATCTGAGTTGTAAACCAAAGTGTAATTAAATAATTAAGTTCATAGTACAGATGCTCAACTTGTTTTATATTATAGAATGGATACATTTGAACATTATAGAAACTTGTTTTAAGAAACAATTTAATATGTTTAAGTTTTCTGTATACAAAAGAATGGTTTGGAGGACTGAAAAGTGTTCCAGAGTGACAAGTGTTCCTGAAGTTACAATTTCTGTTCTTCAAAATCCAAAACATGAGTGCAGCGTTGGTGGTATAGTGGTGAGCATAGCTGCCTTCCAAAATCCAAAACATGGACAAAATGTATGAATCAATGGTTTTCATGGAGTAGGAAAGAAAGGACAGTAACCCCCGAGAGATTGTAACAAACAGGATAAGCCCTGTATCTGCCCAGGGTTATTGCTTAAAGAGAGTTTCCAGACGACCATGAACAGAGGGGGAGCCTGAAAGGAGTCCCACAATCTCCCTGAGTTGAGGAGACAAATTGATCAACAAAATGCCCATCAAAATCCTACCTTTTTTTTTTTTTTTTTTAAAGAAATTAAACAACTGATTCTAAAATTTCGATGGAAATGCAAAGAAGCTAGAATAGCCAAAACAAGTTTGAGAAGAAACAAAGCTGGAGGAATAACAATATCTGATTTCAAGAGAATATAAAACTACAGTAATCAACAGTGTGGTGTTGGCATTAATACTCAATGGAATAGATGAATGGATCAAAATAGAAAGTATGTACATGTGTGGAAAATGGATTTTTGACAAAGGTGCAAAGGCAACTTGGTGGGAGAACAATAGTCTTTTCAACAGATGGTGCTAGAACAATTCTGTATCCACATACACAATGAATGAATTTCAATCCGTACCTCACACCGTATACAAAAGTTAACCCAGAATGGATCACAGATTTAAATGTAAAACCTCAAATATAAACTTTTTAGAAGAAAATATAGGAGAAAATTTTTATGACCTCATATTAAGCAAGGATATTTAGATATACCACTGAAAACAACATACAGGAAAGTATAAATTGATTCATCAAAATGAAAAACTTGTCCTGTCAGAGACAGTGTTAAGGAAATTAAAAGACAAGCCACAGACAGACAGAAAACAGTGGCAAATTACCTATCTAATAAAGGACTTCTATCATACTGAATATATAAAGAATTATCAAAATTCAATAAAAAAGAAAACAAGTATCTCAATTAAAATAATGGACAAAAAATTTGAATAGGTACTTCACCAAAGATATATGAATGGCAAATAAGCTCATGAAAAAATGCTCAGTGTAATTTGCCTTTAGGGAAATGCAAACTAAAACCCCAATTAGGCCCAATGAGACCCCAATCGCTGCACACAGAACAGTAGTTAAAATTATGGAGAAGGACGATACCAAGTGTTGTTACTAAGGTGGTGGAAGTGGAACTCTGATTCATTGCTGGTGGGACTATAAAAAGGGATAACCACTTCGGAAAACAGTCTGACCATTTTTTTAAATGCTAAACAGAGATCTGTCTCATGATTTGGCCATTCTACTCCCATGTATTTATCAAAGAGAAATGAAAGCATATGTCCACTTAAAAATTTTATATGACTATTCATAGATTCGTTTGTGATAATCAAATACTGGAAACTCCCCAAATGTTCAACAGGTGAATGGAAAGAAAGTGCTGTGGTATATCCATGCAATCAAATCCCCCGGTAATAAAAAGGAATGAACTCTTAGTGCGCATGACAAGATGAACAAATCTCAAAAGAATTTTGTTGAAAGAAATCAGACAAGAAAAGAGAAAACATAATTAATGTTTTAATTAATGTACAACCTTAATTATACAAAAGTCTAGAAAATACAATCTGTGGTGACAGAAGGCAGGTCAGTGGTTGGGGATGGGAGGTGCAGGGAGAGTTGGGGGGGTTGCAAGTGGGTGTGAAGAAACTTTTGGGGTGATGGAAATGTCTGTTATCTTGTGGTGATGGTTTCAGGGATGTATATAGAGATAGATGGATCAAAACACATCAATTTATCCACCTGAAATATGTGCATTTTGGAATGCCAATTACACCCCAATAAAGTTATTTTTAAAAAACTTAGGATATGACTTTGGGTACCCAGAGCAAAATCCTGCTTTGGGAGCTACAGAAGTCATGGAACAGCAAGATACACCTCCTTTTCCCTCCTTCCTTATCTTGGGAAAGGAGAAGGGGGCGAATGTGAAAACAGACTTAATATAAGGGAAGATACACAACAGGTTGTTGGAAACAAACCAGAAAATGGGTATCAACATCCAAAAACTACAAAGAAAGATTTTTTCACCTTTGCTCTCTTCTTTTCCTTCTTTCCTTACCATCTCTCTCTACCATTCCTTTCTTACTAAACCCTTTCTTCCTTTCCTGTCTTTTCCCCTTCTCTCCTTCTACCTTCTGTCTTTTACCCCTCATCCCCTTGACCCCCATTTGCTGGCAGGATTGCATAGCGGTTCCGACTACAGCGTGGACCGGAGCAGACTGCCCAGGTTCAAATCTCATCCCGTATGTATTTAATGCCTCCTGCTTTAGCTGCCCCGTCTGTAAATAGGGTAATACCAAATGTTCCTTCTCACCGGGCCACTGTGGTAGGTGAAGCCCTCGAAATAGGCAGAACCACGGGTTAATACCCTGCAGTGTTTCCATTCCCAGAGCCCCTAAGCTACCACCGACAGGCTGGGCTCCAATCAGTTAAATGTAAAAAGTCCTGGGCTCAGAGAAGAGGGCAGAAAGCACGAGATTCCGAGAGCTGGAACCCAGTCCTGTCTTGGCCAGTCCCCAGCTCCCTGACCCCTTCCATGTGAATTATGCATCAGAGCTTAGACTCTGATCTAAATGAGAAAGGAAAATGAGAAGGTTGGTCTAGAAGACTGTCTCCATGGTCACATGCAGCTGTTAACACCGCTTTTTATAATTCAAAATCATACAAATATTATCAAAGGAGCAGCTTTTTGACAACCGTTAGGCACAATGGAGTTTTTCACGTTCCAGCGAAGGTCATTCATTATTCAGTAAGAAAGATAACCTTGCAAACTGCATGGAGTTTAGGAGTCTGCGTATTTTGCTTGTGGTGGCTGACGCGTCACTAGCTTGGCCTTAGGGACCCCCCGGGAGAAATCATTCCGGAAGGGCTCTGGAGCGATTCTGTCTTCTCCCAGGTCAGCAGCACGAGTGGTGAGTGAAAGAAAGAAAGCTACAGCCAGTTCACATGACTCCCTTCGTGCGAAGTTCACTGCAGAAGTAAAACAGTGCTGCGAGCTGAGAAAAAGACTCTGCTTTTAACGGGGGCAGACTGAATGTGGAGACTGTTCCGTCGTGACCCAGATGGCATGAAGGGGATCCAGTATAACATGACGAGGGGGAGGTTTCCTCTGCTAACATCCTACTGAAGAAATTGTTAAGTGTGTCAACAATTCTGAATGCTTTAAAGGTTCAAGTAACTTTTAGGAGTGTTACACTCCCATTGGGGTCCTTATCCAGAAACAGGATCACTTAACCAAGGGACATCAATCTGTCCCCTGAAGGCATATTGACTCCAGGGACCCAACAGGAATTTTGTTAAAACACACGGAGATCGCTTAGATGTCTCTCATAATTCCTAGCAGAAGTCTCTGCACTGCTCTCTGCTGGGATGAGCTGCTCCCACAACGTGGTTGATTCTGTCATTTGCTGCTAGTGACAATCACCATCTCAACTGGCACATTCCTGGAGCTGTTTAGAGAGAGCCAGAGGTGTCCTAGCCTATGGACACCAGGGCTCTGTGCAGGGACCTGCTGTGACTCCTGTCCCTTCCAGCCAGCGGTGTCAACATGAGACCGGGTATCAGAGTGTGGGCAAGAATCAGTCGAACCGATCTGGGTATCTCGATGGGTCACTGTAAAAGAGGGAGGATCTGGCTCAGTTTGATTAAATGGCATCGCTAGGTCAGGGCTCGAAGTTTTGAGTGTACAAATGTATGCGTGTCTTTGGGATAGCAAGCAGGAAATTCAACTTCTGACCTGATTTCCAGGATGAGGCTGGTTCAGGTGTAGTGAGGAATCTTTATAGATCGCTAAGTTCAATGAAAAAAAAAAAAAAAACAACAACCTTGTAGTTTATTAAAAATTGGGAAATATAGGAAAAAAAACCCACAACTCCACAGAAATAGGAACTGCTACCAGATTCGTGTCTTTCCAACTGATGCTCTTCTGCACACATTTTCATACAGCCGAGACACCATGTATATGTGTATATGAGATGACAGGTATACACTACGTATACATATACAAATATGTACACTGTCTTGTAAGTTGTCCTTAAGATGCTTTGTGCATTTCACAGTTCTTGTAATTTTTTCAATGCCAAAGTAATAACCTGTTGTAGTTATATTCTCACATGGTTAGATTCTAATACGGTTAACTGCTTTTTTATTGTTGGACATAGTGTTCTGCTGTAGTAAAGAATGCTGTTATAAACATTTGTGCATAAATAATTGTACTTTCTCTCTTTAGCACTAGTCCCCTGAAATGACATTACAAAACTCAGGAGTTAATACATTTTTAAGGCTCAGGATACATTTTACCAAATGCTTGTGTCAAAATACCCTTCCGCCAGCTGTGGTTGAGAATGTTCCAATTCCCGGCATCATGACCAGCACTGAGCATCTCTTGAAAGAAAAAAATCCTTGCCAATTTGATGAGAAAACAGTATCTTACTGTAATTTTATTCACATTTCTGATTACTAGTTACCATGTATTTACTCTCCTGTTTTTCCTCTTCTATCAACAACTTGTTCATGACCTTTGCCCATTTTTCCCACTTATCATCCGCATTAATGAAATTTTGTTTTGTAAAGTCTCCATTGAAGCAGCAATAAAACACTTACTAGAGTTCACTTTGTTGAATTGATGTAAGTATTTTATTTAAAGTAATATTCTGAAGACTATAGTTTATTGGTAGGAAAAATATGAATCATACATGTTTAAAGATAATTTTGTACTGACATTTATGGGAACTTGATTTCTCCAAATAACATGATTAGTTTTGTAGTGCGACTATTGGAATGCATTCTGCAGAAATGTGGTTTTACCTTCAGATCTGAGCACAATACCCTTACATCAAAAAAGAAAAAAAAGGATAATAAAAAAAACGCAACTTGGATGAGTTTAAATTTTAGTAGACAACATCTGATTTGTTGAAGAGTAAGTTCTTTTATTTACCTCTTCAAGGAACTGGTTATTTTTTTCACTTCTCTCTGTGCATCTGTATCCTATAAAGAAAATACAAGTACACAATGAAATTTCACACAGTGATGCTGCTACCCTGGGTGTTTCGAAGCAAACTTTGGTGGAGTGAGGTGGTACTTTCTGAAGGACCATTATAAGGAAATTACAGATGTCTTAGATCCAGGCACTATTCAGATCTCTGAGAAGATGTGTCATGTGGAGAGCTAGTTCCAGGGTTCCTGCCACCAGGTCTGGAGTGGTGGGAATGCAGGGAAAAGAGAACCTTCTGTGTAAGCGGACACACTTGATCTCACTAGCATGTTAATGGTTAATTAACACTGTTTTCTTTTTCAGCTGTACCATGTGGAAGAAGTCCCAGCCCTCGCAGTAGGATTTGAAGAAATCTGAGGTTCCACTGCAAGATCCAGGCTAGCAAATACACCCTCTCATTATTGACTTTAACAAGTGGTTTATATGGAAGATGAAAAACCATGTAATATGTTTTCTAGTACTGCACATGTGTTGTTATTTCTTCAAAACGGGTGTGGAGGTTAGAAAGAGAGGTGATAAATTCAGATGGCAGGGTACTCCTCTACATTTTTGCATTTAACAAACATTTATTGAGGGGCGCCTGGGTGGCTCAGTTGGTTAACATGCTCATACACACACAACACCCCTCCCGTTTCACTCTTGCCCAGGGCTTCCATTCAAATACTCTATTTATTTATGTTTTTATGTACAGAGGACACTGGTAGGGCTTTTTGGCCCAAAAAGCCAGCTAAAACCACCACCTCCAATCATGCTTTCCTCTGTTATCATCCAAAATATAGGCCCTTTACACCCTCGATCCTCGTTAGTGCTCCCCTGAAGCCGCTCTCCTGTGAATTCTCCTCCTTGACTCAACCTCCCACTTTCCCCCCTTTTCTCGGATGCTTCTATAGAGCTCCCTAGCACTCCTGTTAGGGGACTTGTTTTGAAGTCACTTTTGCATCACCCGTAATGCATTTGCTGAGAGAATATATTCTGGGGGGAAGGGGAGAGGGTGAGGGGTATTACTGGCGGAGGAGTGGGAGCCAATGGGAGAAGAGGATTCCCCACTACCATGTCTTATAGTTGTTAAACTCCTGGTCACTCTCCCTTTACATTTATTTTTATATGACTTCGGGATCTGGGTCACTCTCCACACTGTCTGCCACCACTGTTGGAGACATCCTTGTCCCCATGGCCTGTGGATCCCAGCGCCCCAGGAGCTGGTCCCCTCATCTCTGATGTCCTCATGCACCACCCCCATGAGCACACACTTGGCTGCGTCATGACCTAGAACTGCTCTATCCCAGACACACGCAGCCTGCTCTCTGAACACAACTGCCTATCTTATTGGGCCATTTATCCGATTATTCTCAATAACACCAATTTTTCAACTGCTACAAGTTTATTATTTCCTTATTGTTCTCTGTCAGCTTCCTGGTGCTTTGACTTATTTTCTACCCACATTAGGTTCTACGTCCAGCTACTCTCTGAGCGAGAGAGCAAAACCCGTTCTCCCTCTGTGGTGCCTGCCCTGGCTCTCCACCAGCCGACAAGTCTACAAACCCATCAAGTTTTCTACTGAGCCCATGACCAAAAAAAAAAAAAAAAAAGAGGACCATGATGTGCTCTCTCTGACTTCCTCAGGACCTTATTCTATCAATTATCTCCTCTCTCCCCAGTCTTTCTCGAACCCTGGCTTCTTCGCTGGCCCTTTCTCATCATTTAAATATGCTCCCCTAGTTCCCATCTAAAAAAACATGATTTCTCAACTCCGGCACCACCTTATCTGCCGCCTGACCACCCCCCTCTCTTCCCCATCACATTATTGGAAGAGCGCCTTCAGGTACTGACTGTATTTCCTCACCTCTGGCGCTCCGCACTGTCTCTGCTCCTATTGTTCCACGGAAACAATCTGGGTGAAGATCGCCAGTAACAGACATCATTAAATTCAGCTCATTCCAGTCCTGACTTCTCCAGAGTGTCTGACAGAGCTGACCACTTCCACCATCCTTTGGTTTCTGAGGCCCCTGTGGCCACTTCTTTGCATCTCACTTGCAGCTTCCTTTTCCTCCTCCCCATCTCTTATGTTGGTGTTTCTCAGAGTTGATCCTTGACCCGTTGGCTTTCAAATACTCTCACCTAACTGGGTGATCTCTGCCAACTTGGGGCTTCAAAGATCCGTTATATGACAAATATTAATCACCTTATGGATTGGAGAACTTCACAGACACAAACCCAAAAGGTCCATAACCGAACTTCTCTACCAAATCTGGTTCTCCAACATTCTCTAGATCCTTAAAGGTACCTCCATCTATGCTGGTCAGTTTCTAAAGGCAGAAACTGAGATCTCATTCTTGAGTCCTTTATCTCCTGGAAATTCAGAGTCTGAGTCTTGTAGAGACTGCCACCCACAAATCCGTTAAATCTGTGCTCTCTTCTCACTCCTCACTGCCATTGCCTTAGTCCAGGTCACTGGCTTATGCCTGCTTTATTGTAGGAATTCCCTAAATGGTACCCCTTCTTCCAGTTCTGCTCCCCTCTGAGCCAAGTCAGTCTCCACATGGCGGCTGCTGTGGCCTCCCCGGGATCTCACTGTGTTACTTGTTGCTTAAGACCCTGTAATGGGTGCCCCCTCCTTTAAGAAAAAAGTACACAGGGTTCTCATCTCTTTCCTCCCTCTAGTACTCAACATTTCAGCCACATTGTACATTTGATTCAATGCTTTTCGGCATATTTCTCAATTCCAAGCATTTGTTTTAGTGTCTTATCAAGTAGGGCCACCCACATCAGTACCAACCGAGACACGTGAACCACATCGTGTGTGTTTATGGTCCATGTTTCCATTCACCTTTGTCATGTACATACATATTTCGACACTAATATAATCCTTAGAACACATTATTTTGTGTTCCCCATTTTTCAGTTACATTAAAAGTTGTTTTCTGATTGAACAAACGTCTTTGTAAATATGTTTAGCACTGCATAAAGAATAGAAACTGGTCAGCTTTCCACAGTGAGGTAACAAAGGGAAAATGGCCTGATTACTCAGCATGTTTCATGATTTTTTTAGACAAATACCAATGTATCAGATTTTTTATCATCAACTTTTATTAATCTGCTGAGGAGGGATTATCTTATAGCCTATTGCATGTTACCGGATTCTGCCTTCTACATGTCCAAGAATGCATTTCAGGTTCTACATTTTTATACTGCATTATTTTCAGTGCCATAACATTTGCCAAAAGTCTAAATTATATGTTGAATTGTGTTCTAAAGCATTCTTGATAGTTTTGTTCTCCAGTCTGAGTTTTCTTATAGAAGCTGCAGATAAAGGCATTTCTACTTGGACTTGAAGCCTGAGGGACTCCCCAGTGTAAGAACTTGAAGGCTGACTAAGGTACGCGTGATCGCTGAAGACTTCCCTTCATTTGTGATACTGAGGGTGTTTAATACAGTGAGGATCCTCACGTGTCCTGGAATGTTACTCTGTGAAGAAAGGGTTTCTCCTGTTTATTTCACTGAAATGCTTCTTGAACATTAATTATCTGGTATTTCTCAAATGGCTTCCTCCTCCCGGTAAAGACTTGCTGTTTTCCTTCTTGTTTTCTGTGTTCTGTGTCTTCAGTGTTCTGTGTCTTCCAAGGCTTGAGCTTTGGCTGAAGGCTGTAGGGTGTCTCCCCCATGGGGACTCTTGTGGAAAGGTTCATGCTGAGGCTGAAGCTTCTACATCTGTTACATGTATGGGGGTTTCTCTCCAGCGTGTGTTCTCATGATGGCTGAGGTCAGAGCATGGGCTAAGGACTTTACCACGGAGATGACATTCATAGAGTTTCTCTGTGGTGCGAACTCACTCACGCTGTTTGAAGGATAAGTTGTTACTGGCGGCATTTCCACACCGATTACAAAGGGTTCTCCGGTGTGAATTCTCTCACAGAAACAAAAGTTAGCTCTGCGGCTGAAGAGTTTGCCACATTCGTTACATTTGTAGGGATTCTCTCCAGCACCACAGACCAGTCAGTAAAGCTGTGGCTACTTCCCCATTCACATTATATTCAAAGAGCTCTGCTCCAGTGTGAAATCCTCTAAGGGGGAGAGGAGAGGCTGCTAACGGTCTGCCCACCCCCGCTCATCAGCTCATCTGTCCGCATGTGGATTCTATGCTGATCTTTCAGTGAAAACCTCCAGTTAAAGTCTTCGCCGCGCTGGCTACACTCACAGGGTGTGATACTCCCCCGTATTGAAGTTCTTCCCTCCGTAGCAGGTCAACTGCACAGCGATCTGATGAATTCTGAGGTCTTCATTATGTTTCAGGCACTCGATATATATGGGCCACGTCTGTGCACATGGCATCTTCTGAGGACTCGGGTTATGGTTTTGAGTTCAGGTTATTCTTTGCCTCCCCAGATTCAAACTATGAGACCTTTCTGCTGAGACAGCACACTTCCTCTCCGCAAAACACTGTAGTTTTAGATTCCGGGCAAATAAAGTTGTTGACATGCAAGAATCTGGGCCCTAGAGCCCAAGGGCTGACATTGCCAATGTCAAGTGCAGTATGATAAGCTCAGAGCTCCCTGAAAGGGACAGAAGACATGTCACAAATAACTCACACACCAGGAAGAGATTACAAGTGCCACAAGAAGAAGCACTTATGGGAAAATATATCAATACTCTCTACCAAAAACTTTGGACAAGGAAGTCTCTCTCTTACTTATTCTTATTCTTATTCTTATTCTTATTCTTATACTTATACTTATACTTATTCTTATACTTATACTTATATTGTTATGCTCCTGTCATTTGGCAATGATCATCAAACATCAACTTGACTAGACTGGGTACAGTTTAAGAATGACTGATTCCAAACCGATGCTCTGTCATCAGTTATTTTAAGAAAATTATTAAAGGGAGGTTTAAGAAACTTCTTGAAGGTGTTTTTAAGATCAACTTTAAAAAGGCAACCAATGCCATTACATATCAAGAAGACTTAATGAATACAGTATTTCAGAATGCTGATCAATACAAGAGCTGAGAGAGTAGAAACGGGGGGTGTAAACAGGGTAGCACCCTCCCATCTGCAGCTCATGAAAATGAATGTTTAGAGAATTGGAACAGTCTGTCCATCCGCTAGTGGCCTTATTAAGTTCTTTTAAAATGAACCAGGAAGAATCAATTCTCTAGGCCTGGATGGCACAGAGGAGTTAATCTATAAGAAATAAGTCCAAACCAGAAAGAAATAGGGCAAATCAGAATTTCTAACAAATGAGACCCTGGACAGCATTGCTGGGTTTCAGTAAGTGACCCACTCATTCCTCGGAGCTGTCGTGTTCCCTGAACAGGAAGGCAGGGTGAACATCTGTAGACTGATTCGATTTTATAAACTTATCTGAGAAACCAATCTCCTAATTAAAATTGGCCCGGTGATGGGTATTAAGGAGGGCACGGGTTGCATGGAGCACTGGGTGTTATACGTAAACAATGACTCTCAGAACCCTGCATCAAACACTAACGATGTACTGTCTGGTGACTAACATAATAACAAATAATAATAATTAAAAAATCAAACGTGAGGTCTTAATTAAGACAGAAAATTAAAGCAGGATTAGGATTTTATTGCTAAGAGTGGTGACTAGTAAGAGAGATGATTCTTAATCTGTGTAACAGTATGGAGATACAGCCCAGGATTTAAACAACAGGTAACTTCCAAGAACTTGGTAGCCGGGACACACTAGTGTTTACTTGGAGCACTCCCAGCGTCCTCTTCTTCCTGGAGTTGTTCCTTGTATATTTTATTTACTGTCCTTTAAGAGTTTGTCTTAGAAGAGCAATTAATTTCACTTCAAAATAGCACAGCCATTTAAGAACATTCTGTTTCTTTCCCAGATCAGCGCTTCCCTGGTCGTGACACACAACACCACATCCTGCTTCGTGCCCTGAGCGCTCGCAGCACAGCCCAGGTCGGTAACTTGAGCCTTCTTCCAGGCAGAGAACTCCCAGGCTGCTGGTGCGGTCATGACTTCATTCATCAAGCATTGTTACATTGCCTCAGACACAGGAATCCCTTTTATTTTAAAAACGGAATGTTTCTCAGGACCTGAGATTACCTTCCTGGGGTCAAGGAAAGTCCACATGAATAATAAAATACTGTAATTTCAAGTTCTGGGAATACAAGGTAGCTCACGTGCATGAATCTGGGTCCTAGAGCCCAAGGGCTGACAGTCCGGATACCGAGTGCAGTGTGATGAGGGGCAGCCCCCTGCAGGGGACGGAAGACAGCTCATCGCTGGGAGAGGTTACAAGCGCCCCGAGAAAGCAGTGCCCAGGTCACGCAAGGTCACGTGAAGGAGAGCGTGCCAGGGGTCGGTGGCCTTCACTGTAATTTGTGGCTCTGCTAGACATTTTGCAAATGAACAGACTGATCAGCAGAATCACTACTGGGGTGCACTTCAGTCAGGAAAACCTTACAGAGATCGGGGTACTACAGGTAACTCTCCTCAGCCTACTTGCTAATTGAAAAAGAAACGGAGACATTCCTGACAGTACATTTGACTCCTTGAAAAAAAAACACAAAAAGACCAAACCTCCTAGAAAATGCAAACAGAAACATCACTGGGAAAGATAAAAAAGTAACATGGGAAATATTTACTAATGCTGTTTTGCTTATTACCCAAGTATTTCCACAGTGCCCAACTCTCTGTTACATTCATAATCAGTCCCACTTACTAGCATTAGTATTTTTGTTTGCGCGCTATTGGTCTTCTGATTCTTCCTGCCCGGACTCCTGAGTGCTTGTCACATGCCAGGCCTGGCACCTGGCACTAGCAATGCGGGGGCGAACGAAACACACCTGGCTGAGACTCTCTTGGAACAATCACACTCATTACGAGGCAACCACAGCTCGGTAAATGATATCAAGGAAAAGCACGAGGTGCTTTCTTGCCTGGGAGCGTCAAGGAAGTCTTTCCTAAAGAAAGGACATTCACGGTGAGGCTGGAAGGGCGAGTAGGAATAAAGGCGGTGAAGGGAGTGAGGGCGGGAAGAGGCGACAACAGGGCCTGGGGGTGTGAGGCAGGGGAGAGTGTGGTGCAGAGGGGAGGAGAGCCGGGAAACTACACCGGAGCCTTCAGGGTAGGACTTTTAGGACTTTCAAGCAGGGAAGGGACAGACTGACGTTTGTTTAACCTGCTACCTCGGCTGCTAAGGGGAGTCAAGAATGACCTGGAGGGAGGAAGAAAGCTGCACGGCAGTGGGAGGCTCCCACGTCGCAGTTCAAGTGAACGGGGGTGCTCTCCTGCTTGGAGTGGGGGCAGCAGAGCGAGAGAGCTGTTGTGTGGCTCACGGCATGTTTTAGAAGAGGGAGTCTGAGAACTTGGGGACTGGGTGGGTGTCTGGGTTGGGGGCTAAGGTGTCAAGGACGACTCCCAGCATTCCCAACTAATGAATGAATGTGCCATTTAGTAGCTGGGAAGACGGAGAAGAGCAGATCCAAAGGCCTGATGACAAGCTGAGTTTGAGATGTCTGCGAAACACGCAGGTAGAGATGTCACACGGAAAGCAGAAAAGGAGGTCTAGGGTTCAGAAGGGAGATCTAGAGATGCAAATTTGAGGACTGCTGGCAGGGAGATAGCATTTGGAAGTTATGGACAACAGATTTGTGGGGAGGGAGGACGAAAGGTGAGAGGAGAGGACAGACTTAGGAAACAAGGACCAAACCTCGAGGGTCACTGATACTTAGCCCTTGTGCGAGAGCGGAACTGCGCGCACCAGTAGTTGCATGTCACACCAGGCATCATACTTCATTATCATACTGTATCCTAATCTCAAATTCTAATAGGAATGCACAGACACCCAGTTTAAGATGACTGCATATAACCTAAGTGACATCATTCAGGAGAAATGGGCAAGTTGGTAGGTTCCCCATCACCGATATGGGGCAGGCAACCAGAGGGACAAAATCTGTTTTCTGCCCCCAAAATTCCATAAAATGTCTTCTGTGGGGAAATGTTGCTACTGAGCCTGTGCTGTGTGCTCAGTGTTGACCAAAAGAATCCACTGAGGGGTCGGAGAGAGAAGGAGAGCCAACCCTGTAGGAAATCCCGAACCTAGGAGCCACCCGAGACCTGGAGCAGGTGATTGCTGGGAAGGCCCAGAGAGGGCTGGCCAGCCCCGTCTACAGACACGGGCATCCCCGAACCCTGAAGCTCCAGAAAGTTCTTGTTCTACTTCCCCATCATTCGTATTTCCCATGACTGTCCTGAACCCCTCCTTCCCTCCAAGCACACAAATCTTCACTTTTCCACGCGGAGGCTTTGGTCATGACCTGCGACGTGCTTCTCTCACACCTCCCTGTCATCAAAACCCACCTCTGATGCTCCTTGATCTCTTCTAGGTGAAAATAATTTCCATCTTCACTATTTCCATAACCAATTATTTGTACTTCTCCTAGCTCTTTGGGCTTTTCACCCTGAGCTACGGTTACTTGGCTATCTAACCTATATTCTAGGCTACAGAGGGCTGTGGGCATGCCTTGCAAGTTTATATTTGAGATCACAACAAACATCAGAGCCAGTGTGGCTCCAACAGAGAAGGAGAGGGCTGCTTAATTCCAAGGCATTTATTTCCCCACGCCACCCCTTTTTAAAAAGGTAGGCTCCATACCCAGTGCAGAGCCCAACATGGGGCTTGAACTCACGACCCTGAGATTAAGACCTGAGCTGAGATCAAGAGTTGGACGCTTAACCGACTGAGCCACCTGGGCGCCCTTTGAGGCATTTCTTTTAGCTGTGATTCAGAGAATGATGTTTGCTGGTATGGAAGGAAGAAGGAAAACATTTATTTTCTTTCGTTCCCACAATACCAATATATGGCTCACAGGAACACAGATGGGACGGTTAACTCTGAAATTCTTAAACCAGAGCACATCCAGAATGCTAAATCAGTAAACAAAAGGGCAAGAAGCAATATGATAGCTTCTTCTTCATTAATGGTAGGTGTCCAAAGGCTGAGAAAATGGTAATACATTATTTTTAATCTTCTTCCTGCTAGAGGATAGCCATCCCCTTCTGTGAGCTGAGGACTGAAGATGGCAGGCACGTGGACAGTCCTCTTGCTCCAAGGTGGGCAGCCTGCCTACTTGTCTGCTGCCTGCCACAGCTTCACCATCAGATCCCCAGAATGAGGCTGTCCTCCTACCTTCCCCCAGTGGGCTTGGCCTATTCTCTGCTGTCTAACACTTAACAGGCAATAGGATATTTTAACTACTAGTCCATGATTTGTGTGTCCCTTAAAGATACTGGGAGTCTACTACAGCAGACTTTAAAACTTCATACTACATGTTAGTATGGAAGAAAAATCCACACATTTCTAAGCCATATTTGAGGCCAGAAAAGGACTAATAAAATAACAGCCCTCATTGTCACTGTTGGGACTTACCTCTTGGGTAACACAAGGAAGCAACACTGCCAAATTACAAAACTTCACAGCGTTGTCTGTTTGTTCAAGATCGATGTAACACTGGAAATGAAAAACGGTCCATAAGAAAGGCAGGCCCAGTTTTATGTAATGGACTCAAAGTGATCTTAGAAGAGTGGTCTTCCTGGGGCGCTTGGGTGGCTCAGTCCGTTAAGCATCTGACTTTAGATTATGGCTCAAATCATGATCTCAGGGTCATGCGATTGAGCCCCAAGGAGGGCTCTGCTCTCAGTGCAGGATCTGCTTGAGATTCTCTCTCTCCCTTATTAAATAAATAAAATATTTTTTTAAAATACTTTTTAAAATAATTTTTTTATTAAAAAATATTTTATTTATTCATTTGAGACAGAGAGAGCACAAGTAGGGGGAAAGGCAGAGGGAGGGGGAGAAGCAGGCTCCCTACAGAACTGGGAGCCTGAAGTGGGGCTCAATACCAGAACCTGGAGATCATGAACTGACCCAAACGCAGGTGCTCAACCATCTGAACCACCCAGGTGCCCCAATAAATAAAATTTAAAAACAAACAAACAAACAAACAAAAAACCCAAAAATAGTGGTCTTCCTTACCTTGGCCAAGAACAAGTAATTGGACTTAGAAAAACCAGGGTGTAGTTCTTCAACCTGATTTTAAGAAAAAACAGAAAAGAGAATAATGGGACAATATTAAAACAACCACCACCACCAGTAAAGAGGATATATTTCAATAAATCAAATACTAACCAAACTGTCCTAAAAATTTAGGTTGATTGTGTTACATCAGAATCATTTTATCAGTTCAAGTACCTTTTGAGTAGAAATAGAGCTTTTGAGATTATCCATTAAAATGAAGTTATTATTACGTTCATAAAGCTTACGAAAAAATGCGATACTTTGAGGTTTCGGGATTCCTTTGTATAACCTATCCTTTCTCTTTTTCTCCCTTCAAAAACAAAAACAACTGGTGATACACTTTCTCAGGACAAGTCCTATACAATTCACAATCTATTTAGGAACTAAGCAGAGGATGACTGGTATCCCATGACAAGCCTCCACTGCATTAGTATTTGATTTCTTAGGACTTCAATACATCCCATGAGTCGAATCCTATCCGGAGTCCATCGCATCAAGTATTTTTAAAGCAAAGACTGACCCGTGAAACAACTAGTCCAGACCTACGTGCAGATTTTAATAAGTGGGTATGATGGAGACACTTTACTCCTCATCTACTAAACTCTTATGCACCAGTTCCCTTTCTATAGCTCTGGAGAATAAGAATTTCTTTAGGCATTTGGCATGGCCACTAGAAAGCACTTCTTAGAACCTAAGTCAATCTTCGGTCAGGGTCGCCTTCTGCAGTTGCAAGGGCTCATGCAAATATAAGCCCCCAGTCTGACCCCGGAACCCAACCCAGAGAGATACATAACCCAATAGAAGAAGGTTACTTAAAAAAATTTACAAAGATATGCTTGTTTTACAAGATACAAATAATATGGACATTTAAAAAATTAAAATGTAAAAGTTTCTTTGTTCTAATTTTATTTTCGATTTTAGTCTCATTCCCCAGGGGTAACCACTATCAACAGTTGGACATGCATCCCACCAGACCTTTTACAAGTACACACAAATTAAAAAAAAAAAAATCTGCTTTTGAAAAAAAAATTAATATGGGACCATTTCTATGTATTGGTCTAAAACTTTTCTTCCACAACATATCACAGGTACGTTTTTGTGTTAACATACACAGATTTACCTCATTTATTTCTTAAGAGCTGTATTTCATAATACACATATGCTGTAATTAAATTAAGAATCCTCTATTAGACATTTTTTTACTCTTACTAATAATGACTGATGAACACATTTGCTCTTGTACACTTGTGCACATGTGGAATTATGTCTGTAAGAGAGATTCATAGAGGTTGAATTGCTGCGTAAAAGGACACATACATTTTAAAGATGGATGCTAATGGAGGAGAATCTGAGACCGAGGCACTCCTGTGCTGAGGAGGGCACATTCTTGGTAAAGGACATTTACTTTCTATAAAATCCAAAAGGTAAGGGTCCTAGGAGGAGGAGGAGGAGGAAGAAGAGAAAGTCTCTTGGGCTGGGGAGCCAGACTGGGTGTAAGTCTTTAGGACCAAATGGATGAACAGTGTGTGGATCTGGCCAAGAGCCTGCGAGTGAGACCGCAAGGCTGCCGCCAGATGGAAGGACATTGTCAAGTGCAGTCCTAGTCAGAGCCTTGAAAAGCCCACATGGCCATCCACAGTGCTGTTGGATTCTGGTTCTGTTGCTTCTTTTTTGTCCAATTATTTTCATCTCAACTCTTATTCTTTGAGTCTACTAAGTGCATTTCTTAGATCACTCTAATAAGACCTCACTTAAACTTTGCTCAACTGTACCTTCTTCTATGCCCAACAGTTGCCCGGCTCTGTCCAAATCCTGCCTGGAGAACTTGCTCCACCATATGAGCGTATGCAGCTTCTTTTTCTAATGTTGGCATTTTAATTCTGCATACACATCTTAGCACTTATGTTTAATTAACCTTACTAACTATAAATTAGAACATCTCTTTTTGTGCTCATGGTTAAAAAAAAAGCAGCAGCCCAAGGAACATAGGTTACGAACAATATGAACTTCCTAAAACGGAGCAGATTCTGACTTTTTACCAAAGGGCTTACCTAATAACAAGGAAGGTAGTGTTGCTCAGTAGAATGTTCTAGTTAGGCAGCAGTTTCTAGCTAGGCTTTTAGAACACTCTATAATAATACTCTATAATAACACAGGGATACGATAACAATATACTCTATAATACTATAACGCAATAATAATAATTCTCAATAATAATACAGAATATTGTAGTTAACTTGGTCTTGGTTGTACAAGTTCCCTGGAGGCAGGAGCTGTGTTGATCATTTCCGTGTCTGTTACCAGCTATGTGCTTAATAAACATTACCGAATAAACTAGTGGTGTTTTAAGAACATCTCATAACGTTAGGCCGCTTCCCTCCGTCATATCAGGACACAGATGAAGGCTCTGCAGGTGGTAAAACCACTAAGGGGGGATCCAGAGATCATATGTTGCAAACAGTAGGGGAGACCAGGGCCACCGATTCCCCAACATTGCTACACCTGCTATCCTACTACACGTACTCAAGGCACTGGGTTCTCAACCATGCCATGGGCCACACAGGAAGAGCTCTGAGAGCTTTAAAAACACTGATCAAGTTTTTGAAATACTTCTCTTATGACCCAAGTCCATTCCTTTTGCTAAGGTAACTTAGCAAAGAAACTTTAAACATTTCTACCTAAAAGCTTGCAAATGAATGTTCATAGAAGCTTTATTCATAATGGCCCTGGTCTACAACCACTTCCTGAGATGCTGTGACACTGAGGAGGATCAGACTTCACCAGTTATAAGAGCAAAATAATAGCAGCTAACATTTACTTTCAGTTAGAGAACTTAATGTGCTAGATCCTAAGCCAAGAAACTTACATGAACTATTTTATGTATCGTCACAAAAACCATATAAAGTGGGTATTATTACACCTGCTTTACAGATGAAGAATTTAAGATTAAGAGAAATAAAGAAACATGGCTAGGTCATATGGATGGGAAAAGACTTCGGTCTCAAACTGTCTGATTCTAATGCCCGTGCTCCAGAGCTCTACAGGACTGAGTTGGATGGCGTGGGGACACATTCCTGGCCCCTGTGAACCCTCTTTGCAGGGACAGAGTTGGGGACAGGAGTTCTACAATCTGGGGTCCAAAACCCCAACCTGCTACTGGGACCAAGGGTTGTGGACTCCCCTTGGGTACGGGATCGAAGTTCTTTCCCCTCCACCCCACAGTGTTCTTACTCCTCCGCCCCAGCCTTTGAACTTAGCACCTTGGGCTCCTCAGGACCCCTCACTGTGGCAGTCAATACAGAGAGGAGCTTTCCTTATGCCTTCTCACTCCCTCAACAAATACCACAAAATGCATTTTCAGACAGAATTTAAGTCACGACTGAATGGTGAGGTCCCCGAGATGGTTGGCCAAGGTGTATACAATTTAATGGAGTTAAAATTCTATGACTGTTATTGGGCTTACTAGGTACAGGGCACTCTCTAAGCCATTTCCTTATATTAACTTATTGAATCTTCACAACTACGCTATGAGTCAGGTACTATTATCTCCATGTCATTGATTAAATGGAGAGAGAAGTTAAGAAACCAGTCCAGCGTTAATCAGTTGGTAAGTGGCAGAACTGAGATTTAACCAGGTGGTCTGGTTAACCAGAGGTAAGGTTGCAGAGGTAAGGTTGCAATCCTTACCTCTACATTATTGGGCCTCTGATCATTTATTTTATCTGGGTAGTATTTTGAGTACATTAGCACCTGAAGAACTTCTGTACAACATCCTGAAAACCTGAGCCCCCATTTATTACTTTGATACTATGAAGAAATGAGTTTCAAGTCCAAATGACATTTTTCCTAATTAGCTTAGCACCTTCTATGAACTATCTTAAATATACCATGATCTATATTCTTATAAAATGAAAGAACTAATTCTCAGTGGTAGATAAAAGATGTGAAGAAATGGGGATGACACAGCCTTAGACTACATGCATATTTTGGCCTGCCACTGTGTGACAGTAGAAAAAATTAAGTTCCTTGCTTTCCTTTTTTATAAAATAAAAAAGATCACGTTAAATAAAAAAATAAGACATGTTTGGCCCCTGCGCTCTTATACCCTGCACTGTTTTCTAACGGGCTCATGCTTGATCTCAGAACACTTATTTATTCCACAGGGCATTGTAGGTAGCCGCTAACCATTCAGTCAGAAATGGAAAGTGCAATGAAATCTGTTGAATTCCCTCTTCGTTCTACAAAATCAAACCCTAAGATACAACAAAAAAGTATGAGCATGTATAATATGTTGGACAATACAGTTTAGAGCCTGATTTTTGTCTACATTGTTACAAATCTGAAAAGGTAAATAAGGAAAGAAAAGGCATCTGAGTGTCTGTAAGATTCTATAATTGCTCCCAGAGAAAGATAAAGGGATGAGCCCACCAGGAACTTGATTATATACACACACACGTTATTACTGTTTAGAGTTTTATCAGCATTGCAATTATACATTTTAAGACAGGAATGAAAATACTGGTTTGATCTGATGCCCTGTGTTCCATAGAACTGTTTGCAACTTATGGAAAATAATAACTTTCCTCTTTGATATCTTTTAGTTCTTCAAGATTAAATTGCTTCTGTATTAGGCTAATTGGGAGTATTTTGGAACAAGTCTAATAATCAGGGCATGAATGCTTTTGTACATACTCACACGACCCAGAGAGCAACTCTTGGATTTGGTAGCTAAGGGTTGTGCCCCTAGGACTTAAGACATAACTAGCTGCTCTGGGAAGCAGTCTGGACACCTCAAAACTAGGATTCAACCTGGGGCTTCTGTTAGAGATCTACGCATGGAGAAGCATAGGAGGGATTGGTGAAGGTTGGAGCCAGTTTGATACTAAAATAACAGACAGACAAAATATACCTTAAGGAAATTTTGCAAAGCTTCTTCTACAGTTGAGGATGGTATTTTTCCAAACAGAGTAGCGGCCATCTTTTTCTCAATCCAGCTCAGTTTTGAGACCTGCAAACAGGGAGGTGACATCATTCTTAGAAAGTTGATCAACTTTTGAATCAATTGTCTCTCCTCAGACGTGCATGTCCAGGTGTATATGAATGTATATGCACAGAATATATAAATATAAACATCTCCATAAGTAACATATATGACAGAGATCATCTTTACGGTATTAATATTTTACCTTCCCTTTTTTATAGTTCTAACAAACCGTGAGCTCTAAAAGCACTGGTTACCAAATCAATCTGAAATACTCACGGTAAGATTTGTGTTCAGACAGAGAAAGGGATGTGGAATACTGCTGATCCTGTTTGTTTATACGATTCAAGATTCTGAGATGACCACACAGTATTTCTTTTCAGAGTCCCCACCTTGGGTTCCTTCCTGCCTACTCCCTATGGCCAACCTGACCCAGAACACAGCATCTCAGAAATGTAAATAGAACAAGGATCTTTAACCCAGAGGGAGTACAGAGTGAGGGCCCAGGATACACATTCACAATTCAGGAGAAAATTTTTTTAACCAATAACCACCAAAATCAAAATTCATATTATCATTTATTCTTTGCTTCCTCCCCTCCCCCCATTTTAATTCCAATGTAGTTAACATACAGTGTTCTGTTCTTCTCAGGTGTCCAATACACTGATTCAACAATTCTGTATGTCACTCGCTGTTCTACAAGAGAAGTGTGCTCTTTGTCCCCTTTGTCTTTCTCACTCACCTCACCCCTGATAACCAGCTACTTATTCTCTGTAGGTTAGAGTCTGTTCTTTGTTTGTCTCTTTTTAGTTCCCTTATTCACTTGTTTTGTTTCTTATATTCCACACATGAGTGAAAGCATATGGTGTTTGTCTTTCTCTGACTGACTTATTTTGCTTAGCATTATAGTCTAGGTCCAATCCATGTTGCTGCAAATGGCATGACTTCATTCTTTTCTATGGCTGAATAATATTCTATTATATGGTATACTATACCACTTCTTTATCTATTCATCTATTGATGGACACTTAGGTTGCTTCCATAATTTGGCTATTGAAAATAGGTTACAATGAACATTGGGGTCCATGTATCACTTTGAATTAAAGTTTTTGAATTCTTTGGGTACCCAGTAGTGTGATTACTGGATCATAGGGTAGTTCACCAGTTTCCATTCCCACCAACGGTGCACAAGGGTACCTATTTTTCTACATCCTCACCAACACTTGTTATTTCTTGTGTTTTTGATTTTAGGCATTCTGCTGGATGTGAGGTTATATTTCATTGTGGTTTTGATTTACATTTCCCTGACAATGAGTGATGTTGAGCATCTTTCCAAATGTGTCTGTTGGCCATCTGAATGTCTTCTTTGGAGACATATCTGTTCATTCTTCTGCCCATTTTTAAATTGGATTATTTGAGTGTTGAGTTGTATCAGTTCTTTTACGTATTTTGGACACTAATCTTTTATTGGATACATCAATTGCAAATATCTTTTCCATTCAGTAGGTTGTCTCTAGTTTTGTTGGTTGTTTCCTTTGCTGTGCAGAAATGCTTTATTTTGATGTAGACCCAATAGTTTATTTTTGCTCCTGTTTTCTTTGCCTCAGGAGAAAAATCTAGAAAGATGCTGTTATGGTCAGTGTCAGAGAAATTACTATCTATGCTCCCTTCTATGATTTTTATGGTTTCAGGCCTCACATTTAGGTCTTTAGTCCATTTTGAGTTTTTTGGTATATGATGTAAGAAAGTGGTCCAGTTTCATTCTTTTGCATGTAGCTGTCCAATTTTCCCAACACCATTTGTTGAAGAGACTTTTTCCCATTGTATATTCTTGTCTCCTTTGTTGAAGATTAAGTGACCATGTAATTGTGGGTTTACTTCTAGGCTTTCTATTCTGTTCTATTGATCTACAAGTCTATTTTTGTGTAAGTAACATACTGTTTTGATTACTTGTAATATAACTTGAAACCTGGAATTGTGATAACACCAGTTTTGTTTTTCTTTTTCAAGATTGCTTTGGCTATTTGGGTGGTTCCATACAAAGTTTAGGATTGTTTGTTCTAGTTCTGTGAAAAATGCTGTTCGTACTTGGATTGCATTAAGTCCATAGATTACTTTGGGTAGTATAGCCAGTTTAACAATATTTGTTCTTTCAATCCATAAGCATGGAATGTCTTACCATTTCTTTAGATAATCTTTAATTCTTTCAACAATTATTTTATAGTTTTCAGAATACAGGTTTTTTTACCCTTTGATTAAGTTTATTCCTAGGTATTTTATTATTTTTGTAATTGTAAATGGAATTGTTTTCTTAATTTTTCTTTTTGCTTTTTAGAAATGCAATGGATTTCTCTACATGGGGATTTTCTATCCTGTGAGCTTACTGAATTCATTTATCAGTTCTAGTAGTTTTTTGGTGTCATCCTTAAGGTTTTCTATATATAGTATCATCTCATCTGTGAATAGTGAAACTTTTACTTCTTCCTTACCATTTTGGAAGCCTTTTATTTCTTCTTCTTATCTGATTGCTATGGCTAGGACTTCCAGTACTTTGCTGAATAAAAGTAGTGAGAATGGACATCCTTGTCTTGTTTCTGATCTTAGGGGAAAAGCTCTTAGTTTTTCACCATTGAGTATAATGTTAACTGTGGATTTTTCATATAAGGCCATTATTATGTTGAGGTATGTTCCCTCTAAACCAACTTTGTTGAGGGTTTTATCATGAATGGATATTGTACTCTGTCAAACGGTTTTTCTGTATCTATTGAAATGATCATATGGTTTTTATCCTTTCTCTTAATAATGTGATATATCACACTGGTTGATTTGCAAATACCGAACCACCCCTGCATTCCAGAAATAAATCCCATTGATCACAGTGAATGATTTTTGAATGTATTGATGGATTTGTCTTGCTAATATTTTGTTGAGGATTTTTGCATCTATGTTCACCAGAGATATTAGCCTGTAGTTCTTTTTGTTGTTTTGTCTTTATCTAGTTTTGGAACCAGGATAATGCTGACCTATTAGAATGAATTCAGGAGTGTTCCTTCTTATTTTATTTTTTGGAAAAGTTTGAGAAGAATAGATATTAGCTCTTCTCTAAATATATGATAGAATCACCTGTGAAGACATCTGGACTTTTTTGGTTGGGAGTTTTTTGATTACTGATTCAATTTCATTGCTGGTAATTGGTCTGTTCAAATTTTCTATTTCTTCCTCTTTCAGTTTCAGTAGATTATATGTGTCTATGAATTTATCCATCTCTTCTAGGTTGTCCATTTTGTTGGCATATAATTTTTCATAATATTCTCTTATAATCCTTTGTATTTCTGTGGTGTCAGTTATTTCTTCTCTTTCATTTCTGATTTTGTTTGAGTTCTTTTTTTTTGGATCAGTCTGGCCAGCAATTGATTAATTTTGCTTATCTGTTCAAAGAATGAATCCTAGTTTCACTGATCTGTTCTATTTTCTTTCTTTCTTTCTTGTTCAATATCATTTATTTCTGCTCTAATCATTATTTCCTTCCTTCTGCTGGATTTGGGTTTTGCTCTTCTTTTTCAGCTCTTTTAGGTGTAAGGTTGGGTTGTTTGAAATCTTTCTTGCTTCTTGAGGTAGGCCTGTGTTGCTATACACGTCCCTCTTACAATCACTTGTGCTGCACCTCAAAGATTTTGGATCATTGTGTTTTCATTTTCATTTGTCTCCATATATTTTTGTTTATTTCTTCTTTGATTTCTTGGTTGATCTGTTCATTGTTTAGTTGCATGTTATTTAACCTCTGTGTAGATGGTCTTTCCAGATTTTTTCTTTTTTTTTTTTTAGATTTTTAAAATTTATTTGACAGAGAGAGAGATGACAAGTAGGCAGAGAGGCAGGCAGAGACAGAGAGAGGGGGAAGCAGGCTCCCCGCCAAGCAGAGAGCCCGATGCGGGGCTCGATCCTGGGACCCTGGGATCATGATCTGAGCTGAAGGCAGAGGCCCTAACCCTCTGAGCCACCCAGGCGCCCCCAGATTTTTTCTTTTAAGCCTAAACAAATAATGTACATTCAAGCCCCAGACTCATGTGAGGTTGGGTCAATGGTTTTTAAGCCTGTGGAGTCTTGTACCTTAATGAAGACTCAGGTTCTCAATATCTAAAAGTGGCACAATAAAAACTGCTTACAGAGCTGTTTCAAGGATTAAAGGGGACAAGAAATACAAAGTATAAACTGCACATCTGATACATAGCAGGTGTTCAATAAAAGAGCTTCCTTCTCCATTCCTAAACCTCAAACCACAATTAAAAAGCTTCCTCTTTTGCTTATGCTAATTTCCTCATTCAGAAATACCATTTCTCTTCAGCATAATTTTTCATGCATCTCTTTAGATTTTCACATTCTGTTAATTTTCTATAAACTAATGTCATTTGAGACACTGGATCTCAGACTCGCCAGCTGTCTTGATTTATTTCTGTATGTTTCAAGTGTCTTTCTAAATCCAGTTCTTTGAAGACAAGAACAGTGGGCACATAATTTATGTTCAACACACTGATAAATGAAACAGTCCTCTCACAAAACAAAGAGTAGTACACCAACACAGAGCACATGCCTATAGGAGGCTGACCAACAACTGAGAGCACAAAGGGGACATGTGATTGCTGCCAGGGGAAACAGGGAGGGGGTCGGGGAAAACTCAGATATATATGTGTATACAAAAATTACATACTGTATGTAACACAGTATACAAACAAATCAATCATAAATTCATAAAATAGGTACTGATTTTATCATTTTCCCTACAGTAGGCACTAGGTAAAACACTTAGAGAATAAGTCACTGGAAATATATCCCATAATCATAGTATATTTAAACAAGACTTATAGATAGAAACATTCAACTCACAGTATAACAGTATCTTCCTTTGAGGTAATACAAAAAGGGTTCTTCAGGTAAAAATTGGATTGCTTTATCTAGATGTTCCTGAAAGAAAAATCAAAACAAATACCATCTCTCAGATTTCAGGCAGTGATGAATGGAAGTGTGCCTAGTCAATTCAAAGGGGCTTTACAGTGTTGTTTGGTCCTCCTTCTCAATCCTTAGCATTAATACAAGTAAGTCTTACCAATAATTCAATTTTCGGGAATGACTGCCCGCAACTAGAAAAAGACTGTGACTATGATTTAATTAAGCAATGGATAATTTAAAGCCAAATGTCACTATAAAGATAGAAAACGTCCAAGTGACATTTTTGTCTGCCCATGTCTTGCCTAGCTAGTACTTACTATTCAGAAGCATCCTTGCAAATATCAAATGATGGGGATATAACGGGAGAAAGAAGAGCAGAACTAGGCGATGGAGGGACCTACTCCCCTGACGTTATTATAATGGCTATAGGGAGCTGGAAGACAAACCCTGACCACTTGTATTGAGCTATCAAAGCTACAGCCACATTATAAATGATGCACCTGTACATAATCTGTTTTATTCACTCATCATGTGAAGTTTAAGCCTTCAACTGGATTCTACTCCTCCTGCCACATCAATATGAAAGAAATGTTAACTAATTAGTCCCCATCATGTTGATGATATTGGTGAGTTCATGACCAAAAGACTAATCTTCAGTCTTTGAACAAGTAATACTCGTCTACTATGTGACTACTTTCAAGTTCCAGAATAATAATAATCTTCAAATTCCCAAGCAGTTTCATTCTTTTTTGTGTGGTACGATGTAAAGACTGTTACTTCATTTAAATAAAAAAGATAAATTCCTTGAGATTAATTCATTGAATAATTTGATTTATATCTTTTAAGGAAACAGATAGGTCCATTAAAATATTTTTAATATCAAGAAATACCTTGAAGCGATGTCCATAGTTGATTTTGTTTTGTAAGCCCTCAAACTCAGATACATAGCCACACAGAACCGCATACCTGAAAAGAATAAAAACAGTGGAGAGCATGTGAACTTTTAATCAAATACCATCAAATATAACATTTTAAAAGTATTTCTAAAGCATTTATTAATATTTGACAGAAGTATTCATATAGATGCAAGGGCATCTTTATGAAAATAAAAGAAAATGAAAAAAATAAAATGCAAAATAAAAAAAATACCTGACATGAACATGAGGCCAGTTTCCTCACCTATGACAGGGGAAAATAACACCATCTCATACATCCTGTACGTATGCCAGAACACCTCGAACACATAATTACTTAGAATACTACCTGTCACATAGTGAGTTCTGAGAAATAGGAGTTGCTGCTATCACCATCACCAACATCAAAGTCACAAAGAGGCTCTCTGAAGAAGTCTAGTCACACAGGTAATAAATTGAAAAATATATTGTATCATCATATCCCTGCTCCTCCTTAATAAAAATAAAAATAAAAATAAAAATTTCACAGCCTCCCTTAATGTCATTTGAAAACAAAAATAAATACCATGACTAAAACAAAATCAAAGGTAGTTTCAGAATACACTTTTCCGAAAAATTCCCCATGACCTTCGATCCTTCCTTGAAACACTGCAACCTAGAATAGCATATCCCATAATTGTTCACTTTTTTTCCCACTGGGAATACAAAAGTTACATCAATAATTATTTGACATAAATTGGGTGTGATACTTGCTCAGCAATTTGCTCACTCCGAAATCTGGGGATGTATTACTCTTTATATCAGAGTGTTTCTGTTTCAAGTCTCCAGAGTATTTCAGAGTATTTCTGTCTGAGGCAAAATACTCACTTACCTAAATATTTCAAGAGTAAGTATTAATTTTTATTTGTACTGTCATAATTGAAATGAAAGATGTAATTTTGGGTATTTATCTTGATCATTCCTGTAGATTAGCATAACTCTCAAGTACAAAAATGAAGTGAACAATTTTCTTAATTTGGAACAGGAAGACCCTTCCTGAACACAAAAGATGACATAATTCACATAACTTATGACACCAACAAAACAGTCACTTTTCAGTTACGATTTGTTTGACCTCTGAATTTGCAGTTTCTATATAATCAACCAAATCTGCTATAGGAGAAACAAGAATGACAACTAAATCAACCTATCAAAAGTAATCTGAGAGTCTAACTAGATTAGGAGATACTACTATTCACAAATTCTATCATCAGACTACATTACACATAGCTCTCTGCACCCACCAGAGACCGAGCATGGAGGAAAAGATTACTGAAGAAAGACTCATGAGTTTCTTTGTAAAACTGCTACTGTCACCTCCAGCCTCACCATGGTCTTTTGAAATGTTCTCTGTCATTTTGTTCTATCATTCCTCCCAGGGAGTTCCAGAAAGTGGAGCAGAATTCCATACATCTATTTCCCCCAATGCTCCCATTTTTTTAATAGGCATTATCATTTTCTGATTCACTTGGACTTAAAACCTTAGGCCACTTTAAAAAAAGTAAGTTTTTATTTTAAAATAGCCTGAGATTTATAGGAAAGTTGCAAAGATGGTACAGAGAGTTCCCATACACCCATATTCTGTTTTCTCTCCTGTTTACATATTACATTACATTTTTGTACTATTTTTTGTACATTTTGTACTGTTTACAAATTACAGTACATTTATCACAAGTCTACCAATTCTGTCAAGCAATACTGATATGTACTTTTTACAATGTACCAATAGTAATACATTATTATTAATGAAACTCCAAGCTTTATTCAGATTCTCATGTTTTTCCCTAAGTTAAATGTTGACACTTTTCTCTCCATCCCTCCTTCCACATTTATCCCTGTTAACTCACACATGTGAAAATCTTTTGAATTACTTTTGTCATTCATCATACATCCTCTTCTAGTTTCACGTTACTTGCAACTTTTATAAACGTACCTATTCTATCTTTACCCACTGACAAAATTACAGAACACACCAGTGTCTAAGATACAGACCTGGAACCCTAGAATCACCTCCAGACTGACAATGATGTTGCCAACAGTTATTCTGTTGAGTAGCTAAGGCTTGAAACCTTCTCTCTACGTGGGTAACCCAGAGGCCTCCCCACATTTCTGCATCTTGTCCATAAGAACGTTGTAAGTAAACTTACATTAATGCCTTGCTTAAATCCAGATGTACCAGCTCAATTTCCCTACTCTACATGCTGGCAAAGAAATAAAAAACAAATCATGTCACATATTTAGAAAAATCTGTTTGAACTTTCTCATCCAGAGATTTATAGAAAAACCCAAATATTTGCGCTGGAATCAAAAGAAAAGAATCTATGTTCGCTGATCTAGAGCGCTGGGATCAATCATCTATTCCGTTAAACGTCAGCATCAGAACAACTCCATGCACAGCCCTAGGCATCGACACTGCTCTCTCAGCATGCTCTCTCCAAGCTACTCTGAGTGACGAAAAAAGGGAAAAAAACCCCTCTATGACTTATGCATATTTCATATAATGAATATATGCATATTTCATATAATGAACACCATTATATGAAATATACATATTTCCCTTATAAATAATCAGTCTTAATGCTTTTCATAATCTTTTTTGAAGTCTCTTTCTTTCTTTCTTTCTTTCTTTCTTTCTTTCTTTCTTTCTTTCTTTCTTTCTTTTTTTATCCCCCTGAGCTGAGATCAAGAATTGGATGCTTAACTGACTGAGCCACCCAGGCACCCCTTGAAGTCTGTTTCTTCAAAGTCTAAAATATTGCTTACCTTCCTACATATTCTAAGTTCAAAGTTCACCTGACCTCAAAGGATCATCACTTCTTTTTTTGGCAATCAGTTCCACTTATGTCTCCGTGTGCCTGCGTGTTTTTGTTCTTTTATGCTGTTCATCTTTAAACATGTAATTTAAACCATCTCAAGTTGACGGGAACACTGAAGAACGGTAATTCACAACATGGTCCATTACCTCCATCTAGAGGTCATTCTCACCGTACATACTTTGACAAAAATTCCAATTTTCTTTGCATTGATATTGAATATATCTTTAATAAATGACATTCCTGCTTTAACTACTAAAATTACCCCATTAGTTTCCCTGCATACTTCTTATTCAGCACGAATGCTATTTACACTGTAGGAAAGCAGTAGAAAAATAATGTAAAAGGAAAAAATACTGAGTATCTAGGAATAAGAGATCTGGTTGTTGTTTTTCTATTTATTGTGTGACTCCTGCTCACTAATCAGCATATACCCCCGACAACAGACCCCCTAAACACACTACCTGGCTTATCCTTATCTATAAAGTGGAAACATGTTGCTCTGTGACTCGTGTGCTGTAAACATTTGGATATAATTTGTGAACAGTAGAGCACAACAAATATGTAAGACATTAGTTGTAATTAAGGTCAGGCCTATTGGGCTAACAAACTAAATCCACAGTGATTTTACTCTCTTGGTTCTAGAAGTATTTTAGACTGGATACAACAAAAACAACAGAATTTGTAGCAAACATTCTAGGCTTTGGGGTCATACAGTCAAGGTTGCAACTATCCAACTTCATTGCTGTGCACAAATGCATAGGTGTGGCTGTGAGCCAATAAAACTATTTACGAAAATAGGCAGTCAGCCCCAGACTGTACTTTGTTATTTACGCTGAATGAGAAAATGTCTCAACACCCCAAAAAAGACTTTTTATGATATTTTTATTACAATTAATTATGGAATCAGTTAACCTAAATTTTAACCACTGCTTCTCAAGTCAAACTTTTAATTTCTTTTATCATTACCCTAAGCCTCTACTATTTAATTGAATGAAAACTCTTGTATTCACTATATACAATATAATATATTCTAAGAACTAAGATAAAATTGACATTTGAATTTATCAAATTTTACCAACTGATTAGATTTTAACTTTTTAAAAAATTTAAAACTGATACTGAACATGACATGTGCAACACAGTTGGATGACTACTCTGTGTGTGTGTGTGTATAAGATTTAAACTTGGAGTCAAATACCATAGTTATAAACAAGGCAATCTGTTCACAACAAAAAGTGAAATAAGATGAACAAAAGCAAAGAAGCCGGACTAGTGTACGGCAGACCAGGTAGACTATGAGGGCAGAGTTACAGATAATTTCTTCTTACAAGATAGATATCAAGGTACTTATGTAGCCCCCAGGGAAGACTTATGAAAATTCCTCTATGAAAATTTGAAGCTTACATAGATAAATGCCCTCAAGTTGAGGACTGAAATCCACTGTATATTTTAAGTGTGATTTTTCATGGACGCAGATCTATGTGTGGGAGAAGGAAAAGGACAACAGAGGAAGAGCAATGCAGCGGGAGGGAGAGGAGGAGCAGCTCAGAGTTAAGAGTAAGTAGGGCTTCGGGGTTCTTTCTTCATCTAAACCTTGTCAACCAGCTCCCAAACCTCCAGTATCAAAGGAGATGAAGAGTGTGTGTCTTGATCAATACAAATTCATTACAGTTACGACTACAAGTAGAAGAACAGAAGTACCTTAATGCATTCCTATGTTCATTTATTAATACTGATGTGCAAATTAGATGAGAAGGTCTATTTGGCTGTAGAAATGATAGCCAAGACCCTTACTTACTGGGGAAATGATCTTAAAGATAAGTACCAGGAAGTTAACTGCAAAACTGCCTTTCTGCTAGAGTTGCAGCAGAGGGACCAGGGGCATAGAACAATACTTCACTTTAGGTGCTCCAATTCCTAAAGCCAGAAGCTCTACTGCCCGTGCATGACACCTTAAGGAAATGACTGACAGGTTCTGCTGGGCTCAGCCCTGCGCCCTTCTCTAGGCTATAGAAGAGAAGGTAAAGAAGGATTCTTGCAGATAGGTGGACAGTGGGCTCTGACTCCCACCTTCTCATGGAAGGGGGCAGGAGGGAGGCTTGCACCTCCTCTTAAGCCAAGTGAGAGCAGATCAAAAGACCTGTTTTTACTTTGGCCTGTGTCCCTTAGGGGACATAAAAAAATGTCCTTGACTCCTAAGCAGAGAAGCTTAAAGATGAGTGTGTGGGTGGAGCTCCCCCTGCTGGTGGCAGAGTAAAGAAACAGCTCTGCTTTGAGAAAATGGGTCTGCATTTCAGAGTTAGCCCGTGGTATGAAAATGAATTTCCTGTGGGACAAATGTGGACCTGCAGAAAGGGAGCCATTGTGAGAGAGATTTTGCCTAAAAGTGCTCCAGAAGAATAAAAATAATCCCGAAGAGCGGTAGGTTTCTGGAAACCTAGGTCTGACTAACTTACTATTGTTATCTTCCTAGCACCTGAAGTACCTGTATTGCTGTAAGGAACTAAAAGATGTTGTAAAATGTTGTAAAATGTTGTAAAAATGCAACCACAGGGGTGCCTGGGTGGCTTGGTGGGTGAAGCATCTGCTTTCCGCTCAAATTGTGATCCTGGAGTCCTGGGATCCCTGCTCATCAGGGAGTTTCCTCTGCCCCTCACCCTGCTCTCTCTCTCTCTCTCTCTCAAATAAGTAAAAAAATAAAATCTTAAAGAAAAATGCAACCAAAGAGTGTTAATTTAAAACAATATATTTCTTATTTGTGTTTTATAATTCTAAACATACAAAGGATCCAAAACAAAATGCATTCAAGAATAAATTTGTTTCCCCAAGGATATTCACAGCTTTCTTATATTCCTTATATTAAAAATGGCTTCTCTTTGACATGTAGAATTTGTACACATGGACTCATTAAGGTAAAAGAAATGAGTGACAGTCTTTTATTCTTTGAAGCACTCTTCCTACATTTCATTTAGAAACACGGTATCAATTCAATATTTGTTTTCAAACAAAACATTAAATTATATTTAATTAGAATTTATCACATTCAAAGGCACTGCACTTGGTAGCTTCACCTATGAAATCTTCAGTGAAAGTTTACTTTGAATATATTAAAATATACATACTATAAAATACATGAGAATAAGAATATTTACTGTGCTATCTACTAAATATATTTTTCAGTGAATGTGACAGGTGAAACAGGTCAATAATATCTTAAAAATCAATTGTAACTTACACAGAGGCATATGAAGGTTTAAAAAGGCTACAGAAGTTCTATGTACTTACCACAGATGACAATGTCCATTCGTGGGTGCTCTAGTGATAGCTCTCTCCCCTAATGTCTTTCCTGAAAGACAAATGTACTTACAGTTAGTACTTTCACGAGAGTTGGTGGAGGAGTGGATTATTGAATTAAGTCAGTGGTTCTGAAAATATGGTCCCAAGACTGGAAGTATCACCTGGGAACTTGTTAGAAAAGTGAATCTGGGACTATGAGGGAGAACTCATTCCCTAACAAAGTCTGGGCTCAGCAATCTGTCTTAACTAGCCTCTAGAGATTCTGCTGTATGCTCAAGTTTAGGTCCACTGGACTAAGTGATGGAACCAAGTGCAAGAAAAGTCATTTGATCATTATTTGAAAGCAAAGAAAATGGATGCAGAAACTAAAAGCAAGATGAAGAAAGAGAGAGCGAGGCAGAGGACAGAGTGCTAACTCCATCTAAAGGCTTCCAGGGAACAGGCTCTGTACATAAATAATCATTCCAAATCATTTCCCTTAGTTTTAGGATCGCTTTTCATAATGTCATAATTACTTTGGATAGAGGTTTGTCTATTGGCCTGAAAAGTCAAAACGTTTGTTACAAAACTGGACATTCTGAAAATTCTTCTCTAAAAGGGGCTGCTTTGTCTTGTGCCATCTCCTTTCCCCTGCTCCATGTTTTTGCTGTTGCCTTGAAGAGAATATCCAGGGATCTGTGAAATGCTCTTCCAAATAAGTGGTTGAGATAATCTTTATAAATAAGGATCTTTTATTCTAAAACCATTCTATTTGTTAATATGTTAAGGTGGTACACTCTGTATTTGATAGCTCTATCCATGAAGAATACCATCCTGTGTAGAAATCTACCAAAACCAGAAAAAATTACAAAGTGAAGTGTTTTAATACTGACATTGAATTGTAGACATATATTAAAAGAGTAATTTTTAAATAAATGATTGAAAAGCAGTTTTAAATGTACATTTAAATATTAGAAACAAAATCAGTATTTTATCTCCTTGGCCAAATGAGCAAAAATATCTTTGAGTGCACAACCACAAGTCTGAAATAGAGTCCATTACCCTGAGACTAGGAAAGGACACTCGCGGGCAGGTTCTGCAGCCTCACTGATCCAGCAGAAGTTCGATAGGAAAGCTGTTTTCCTTAGGACATCATACTTTGTGATCTATTTGAGACACTTACATTGGTCTTTTAATTCTGGCAATTATAATAATGTTCCTTTAGAGATAAGATTCATATTTTGTTTGGAAGACAAATTATGATCAGAGTACTTCAAAAGAGGCCTGTGTAAGGCTCCACCCCAGTGAGAGGGCACGGAAAGAATTCTGCACTCCTCAGCCATCACATTTTCCCCTGGCACAACAACTTTATTTATTTATTTTTAAAGTTTTTATTTATTTATTTGATAGGGAAAAAGCACAAGTAAGTGGGGTGGGGGGGGCAGGCAGAGGGAGAGGGAGAAGCAGGCTCCCCACTGAGCAAGGAGCCCTTTGTGCGGGACTAGATTCCAGGACCTTGGGATCATGATCTGAGCCAAAAGCAGACCCTTAACCGACTAAGTCACTCAGGCACCACCTCCCGCACCACTTTTTTTAAAAAAACTTAAATACGCTATTATAGGGAATAACATTCAGTACTTCCTCTTCCCTCATGTGGAGCTCCAGTGTCCTCCAACGCTGGTCTCAGCTCAAGCCTATTTTTGTCATTGCCTTTCCCAGGTACTCACTACCTGAACCCTGAAGTATGATGGGCTGCCTCAATGTTGATCTTTCTAGCAAGTTCCTTAATGTAGCATCATCTTAATCACATTCACCTCCCTCTTCTCTCCCTTCTCTCTCACCCTCCACCCCTCATTTTAATATTGTTCCTGGACATGGTAATTTCCAATAAATACTTTTTAAATGGAGAGGAAAAAATTATTTTTTAATATATTTCAGTATCTGAATGAATGCATTTGAGGCTTTCACTCCTTTTCCATGACATCATAAATGTTTCTTTTTAAAATAGATCCTATTCCAATCTATGTTCCATTTTTGTTCCCCAATTTCCTCCAGCCCATTTCTTTTTCCATTTTTACCACTTCATTCATTAACACAAACTTCTACTACATTTAAGAATAGAGATCCCAAGTAATTTCACCTATGAGAGACTCTTACTTCCCCAGGAAAGCCTTCCCTGCCTCGACCCCCCAGCCCCTGCCATCATATCCTTGCTGTTATTACTCTAAAAGTCCTGCATTCTCTTTCCTCACAATGGCTTTCTATCTGTTTCCTTTTATGTACGGTTATTTCAATAATACTGCTTCCCCAACAAAGCCGTTAGCTCGTCTAGGGTCTGAGAACATGTGATTTTGCTATCATTTCTACTTCCTATCACACACAGGAGGAATCTCGATGCCCAGGGTAGGGCAAGTGCATACAGGAAATAAAAAGTGTCTGATACTGATGAATGTTGAAACAGTTTACATGGATATCCTGTGACTTTCTCAGTAGATACAAACACAAATCAGTTTTTCCTCTTTGTGCAAAAGTCACTGGAGGAGGAAATCTACAAGTGGAAGGAATGTAATTACAAGGAGTTTGAAGATACTACCTTCTTAGAAATTAAAATGACAGTGGGGGCGTCTGGGTGGCTCAGTGGGTTAAGCCTCTGCCTTCGGCTCAGGTCATGATCCCAGGATCCTGGGATCGAGCCCTGCATCGGGCTCTCTGCTCAGCGGGGAACCTGCTTCCCTTCCTCTCTCTGCCTGCCTCTCTGCCTACTTGTGATCTCTGTCAAATAAATAAATAAACTCTTTAAAAATAAATAAATAAAATGACAGTGAATGAGCCTGGAATGAGGTCTGTGGTATCATTATGCTTTGCTGTTTCTTCCTTATGCTATCTTAGAGAAAGAAAGGTTGGAAAAGAGGAGGTTTGGAATAAAAGAAGAATTAAAGAAATTCTGATGTTAGATTACTATGCTGAAGCTCAGAGAAATGGCAACTACAGGGCTTTTTGCAAGAAAGGGTTTTGATATTTAATGAGAGTCAAGGTGAGATATATATATTTATATTATTTATATATATTTAAATATATATTTATGTATATTTATATATACTATATATTTATATACTTATATTTATATATTTATTATTTATATATATATAAATATTTGCCATCCCGGCTGTTTTTCTTTTGTTGTTACTATGGAAAATTTCAAAAATATGCAAAAAAGTATAGAGTACAGTATAATAAACAACCAGGTACTGTATGCCTTAGCATAAACGACGATCAACTCAAGGCTAATCTTGTTTTATCAAGATGAACTTTGTAAAAAAAGCATTGATAAAAACCCTGAAATTCTACCTGATAGTAATCAGGGAGGGTTATTTTAATTGTACTGAAGACAACTATCTTCTGCCTCTTTTGCTCCTCAAATATTACCTCTGAATGTTTTGTCTTTCTGTGATTTTATAAACTTTATTATCTGAAATTTGAGTTTTTCAGTTGCCTATTCTAATATGCTCAAACATTTAAGACAATATATACTTTAGCCCTAAAAAACCCTTTCTGTAGGGGCTAGGTGGCTCAGTGGGTTAAAGCCTCTGCCTTCAGCTCAGGTCATGATCTCAGGGTCCTGGGATCAAGCCCTGCATCAGGCTCACTGCTCAGCGGAGAGCCTGCTTTTTCTCTCTCTCTCTGCCTGCCTCTCTGCCTACATGTGATCTCTGTCAAATAAATAAATAAAATCTTTAAAAAAAAAAAACAACCCAAACCCTTTCTGTCCTTAGACTATGTATATTTTTCAGTACAGGATATATTAAAATAAATTAAGCATATTGGTTCTAGCTAAGGTGATTTAAATTTGATTAAAATTCATTAATGGGTTATTATAGATAATGACTGTCACTTGAGGATAATCAATCTTTACAAAATACTTACCGATATTAGCATAATGTTTTTTTTCTTCTGCGTTAGTAGATAGCTCATACATGTCTCCATAAGCACGAGTTAATCGCCATATAAACTCTATTTCATCTCTAAACTGAAAAGATAGAACTGTATATTAGATTAACTCAGTAACTTGACAAGACTATAAATGTTTTCCCCTGCAACTTTTAAAAAAGTAGGCAGGTGAACTGACATTTATGGATGACTGAATCTATTCATGTACATACAACATTTTCAATTCAAATATTCATGGCTACAAAATGTGATTTAATATGGTGTTGCATTTGGATCTTAAAACTAAGGAAGGTTATGCAGACACTAGCTCTATACCAACATGGAAGAGAGAAGGGACAGGTGCCAGACTTGGTGAGTTTTCCCTCTTTTTATTTTCCTTTCTAAGTTATCTACCTTCAATATAATGCCTCAGAGAGCATTACAAATCACATATACTCAAAAGAGCAGTCACATTTTTAACCTCAATTACCTACAAATACAATCACAATCTTTGTGTTTGGAGTTGCTAAGTCTTCAGACGAAGGATTTAAGACTTAAATTGCTCACAGAAAAGACGTCCTCCCTCCCTCCTCTCCTCCCTTCCTCCCTTCTTTCCTTGTTTCTTTCTTTCTTTTTGGTGGTAATAGTGGGAGGTATGGGCTTTTTCAATTCAGCCCAACGTTAAATGTTGAAAAATGTCCATTAGTAGAAACATGCTGAAACTGATGGTTGTTACACTAATAACTCTTAAGACAGAAAACTTAAAATTGTAGCTTTCCTGCCCCAACAGAAGCAGTAGGTCATATTCTTTATGTTATAAAGTACATATCAAATATGGCAAATTAATAAGAATCAAATAAAAATAGGTGTGTATAATCTTATCTCTGGTTCTCATTTTCATGATCTCAGAGCCTCATAAACTCTTATAATTTACTTGTTAAAAGTTTCAGTTAGATTATAGAAAAATTTTGCATCAACCATTTAGGTAACACAATTGTTACAGTCACAACAGGAATGGGACTGCAGGTAAAATTAAAAATCAAAATTATACAAACATTGTCTCATATCTCTTACCTTTTCTTTGTGATCACAAAGCAGTTCGAAACTCTCCAACTTGCTACGTTCATTCATACGTAAATTATCAGCCTTCTGAAGAAGGACATCTAAATTTAACTCCTCTATGTGTGTGTTAAATGCCTTAGCGACTGGAAAACTCTGTTCTTCTGTGTCAGTATTAGCTGTAATATACCTAAAATTCAGAAATAATAAATAATGATCAAATCTCTTGGGAGTTATATTATAATAGCCAGAGTGATTCTTTTAAAATACAAGCCAGTATGCTATGAATACAAGAACAGATGAGTGACTGATGAAATCAAAGAGGCATGAAGCAGATCGGTACACATATGGAGCTGTGGTGTGTGATGGAGTTCGGCTGTCAGATCACTGGGAAAGGAAGGGAAGGGCTAGGAAAAACAATGGCTATGCCTATGGAAAACAATGAAACTGAATCTCTACAATATACTATTATAAAATTAACTCTGGATGATAAAAGGAATTAAGTGTTAAAAATAATTTTCTAAACTCTAAGTAGAAATTAATCGGTGAATATCTCTCAGTCTTAGAAGCAAAAGATTTTCTTTTTTCTTTTCCTTTTTTTTTAAGATTTTATTTATTTATTTGTCAGAGAGAGAGAGCACACAAGCAGGGGGAGCAGCAGGCAGATGGAGGAACAGGATCCTTGCTGAGAAAGGAGCCCAATATGGGACTCGAACCCAGGACTCTGGGATCATGACCTGAGCCGAAGGCAGACGTTTAACCGAATGTGTCACCCAGGTGTCGCAGAGCAAAAAATGTTCTTAACCAAGATATGAAAGAATTAGCTATAAATGATTAATTATGAGTGACTAATCAGCTTAGCTATATTAAAATGAAAAAAACTGCTGCTAATCAAAAGACAATTTCAAAAATATAAGAACATAAATTAAAAATCAGGAATAGATGTTTTGCAACATATCCATGTGGAGAACACTGATATCAAGAACACATAAATGCTTTTCTAAAATTAGATAATAAAAGATGCAGTGCAGTCAATAGAAATATGCTTGATAGATACTTTCCCAAATGAGAAAATACATATAGTCAATAAACGTAAGAAATGATGTTCAATGTTCACTAGCAAACAGAGAAATACAAATAAAGACCACAGGGAGATATTATGTAAAAAGTCTGATAATATCAAATGCTGGGCATGAAGTCAATCCATAGGATCTGATGTGAATGCAAACTGGTGAACCCAGCTGGGAAAGCACTCTGGAGTTATCTTGTAATTGTGAATCTTTCACATGTCCTAGGACCCAGTAATCTGGTCTCCTGCATATGTGCAAAAAAAGATATGTATAATAGAGAGAGCAGTACTTTCAAACACCAGGAAACAACCTAAATGCCCATCAAAGAGTGAATGAATATTATACAACAGTCAAAATGAAAGAAATACAGTGATGAGCAAAATATAAGGAATCTTGACAAACTTATTATTAAGTGGAAAAATAAGCTCTTAAAACTATATACAACACAATCCCCTTTCCATAAAAACAATCAAAATTAAATGTGTATCTTAAGGAACATACACACACCTGCAATGAAATGATATTATTAAAAAAAGAAGGAATGAACAATATAGATTAGACATTCAGGGTAATCGTTACCTTCAGATAAGGGAAGGCAGGGGAGCCAAATGGTTTGATGAAGATTATTGTCTAGGTCCTATCCTTTGTTTTAGGAGGTAGTTTCATGGATGCTTTTACATTATTCACAATAACTAACTAAATGATTAAAAGTGACACATGCATGGACCAGTCCTTAGAGTTTGCAAGAGCTAGTCTATGTACCTGAGATATAAGAAAATTATAACCAAAAGGAAGTAACTATTTTAATACCGGACATAATATTCTTTAGAGCAAAAAGCATTAAAGAGGGACACCAATGCTAAATGGTTCAATTTATGATAAAGAAAGAACAGCTTGAGACGTCTATGCATCTAAAAACTCAAGTCTCAGATACACGGAAAACATAAATTAACATTTACAAAGAGAAATTGAATCCACTATGAGAACAGGAGATTTTTAACATAACAGTCTAAGTAATTGATAAAAGTATAAGAAAAGGTAAGGATACAATTTCGGTGCCAAAATTAACAAGCTCAAATCCAACTAACATATATAAAACTAGACACTGAGCCCCAGGAAAACAATGTCATATGGAATATCTATGAAAACAGCCACATACACAAGGCCACGAAGCAAGCCACAAATGGTAACAAACAATCTGTTGTGTAGACCATATTCTCTATTCACAATGCAACTAAGTTAGAAATCAACACTAAAGAGTAGGTGAGAAAACCTCTAAATTTAAAAATAATTGAAACATTTCCATCTACATGCCCACTACACCGGCTAAAATGAAAAGACAAAAAACACCAAGAGTTGGTGAGGATGTGGAGCCAATGGAGCTCTTATACATAGCTGATGGGAGCATAAATCAGAACCACCACTTTGGAAATATGTTTGGCAATATATCCTAAAGCTGGTATACACATACTCCATGGACACAGTCATTTTGCTCCTACGTATATACCCAAAAGAAATGTGTACATATGTTTATCCAATCATAATAGTCCATAACTGGAAAGTACCAAATGCCTATGAGGAATAGGGAGCTTACATATTGTGGTATATTAATGCAATGGATGAGTATTTAGCAGTGAGGATAAATGGTCTTCAACCATGCACAATGATATGCATGAGTATCCCAAGCTAATATCAACTGAGAGAAGCTAGACACAAAGGGGCATATGGTGTATTATTTCATTTAGATAAAGTAAAAACATAATTTTAACTGATGTATGCATTTGGAAATCAAGATGGGTTATCCTGTTGGTGCCAGGGAGTGACTGGATGAGAGCATGTTGGGAATATCTGAGGTACTAAAAATATTCTGTCTCTAAATCTGGGTGCTGACTTTACCATTGTATTCAGCTTGAAAAATCCGTCTGGGTATTTGTTATTTGTATGTTTTTCCACAGGTACTCTGTATTTCATAAAGTTTAAAAAGAATTTTAAAAAGATACATCTCATACATAAGAGAATATAAGAAAAGAGAGAAAAGCAGAAGTCATTATAAACAGCATCAGGAATGAAACATTGTTACTATAGACAGAGCATAGATTTAAATAACAGACTACTGGGGCGCCTGGGTGGCTTAGTGGGTTGAGCCTCTGCCTTCGGCTCAGGTCATGATCCCAGGGTCCTGGGATCGAGCCCCACATCGGGCTCTCTGCTCAGTGAGGAGCCTGCTTCCTCCTCTCTCTCTCGGCCTGCCTCTCTGCCTACTTGTGATCTCTCTGTCAAATAAATAAATAAAATCTTTAAAAATAAATAAACAAATAATAAATAAACAACAGACTACCATGAGCAATTTTAGGCTTAAACTTGGAATGAAAGACAACCACCTAGAAAAATATAACTGGCTAAAACTGCTCAAGAGAAAATCAACCAGTTAGTCCAGAAAAATGAAATAAAAAGTTTCCAGATTGGAAAGAAAGAAGTAAAATTATCTCTAATCACAGATGACATTATCTTGTTCATATAAATCCTAATAAATCCATAAAAAGCTATTAGAACTAATAAACAAGTTCAAGATTGCAAAATACAAGATCAACTTATAAAAGTCAATTGTATTTCTATACAACTAGCAATGAACAATCCAAAAACAAAAATGAGGAAAACAATTTCACTTACAATATTATTAAAAAAAATAAATTCTGGGGTACCTGGGTGTCTCAGTCAGTCGGGTGTCAGACTCATGATTTTGGCTCGGGTCATGATCTCATGGATGGTGAGATCAAGCCCCTGGGTTATGGTCTACACTCAAAAGGCAGTCTACTTGAGATTCTCTCTCTGCCACTGCCCACTCATGCGCGTCCCCCACTTCTCTCTCAAATAAGTAAATAAATAAATACTCTTTAAAAAAAAGAATAAAATTCTTAGGATTGAATTTAACAAAATATGTGCAAAACTTATATACTGTAAACTATCAAACATTGCTGAAATTAAAGAATAGGATCTAAGTACATGAAAAGAAGTTTTGTGCTCATGAATCAGATTTAGTTGTGATGGTAGGATTCCCCCAATTTATCTACAGATTCAAAGTAATTTCTATTAAAACTCAGCTGACAACATTTTTCCCCCAGAAATTGACAAGCTGATCCTAAATTTCACGTGGAAATGCAAGGGACCCAATATAGTCAAAATAATGTTGTAAAAGAGGAACAAAGAGAATTCATGCTTCCAGATTTCAAATTTTACTATAAAGCCACAGTAGTAAAGATGGTACTGGCATAAGGAAGATAGACATATGGTATAGGGATTAAGGACCTATTAAGAATTCAGAGTCCAGAAACAAGCCTTTATGTTTATGGTCAATTTGTTTTAACAAGAATACCAAGACAACTAAGTGGAAGATACAATTTTATTTTCAACAAATGGTACAGGGACAAATAGATACCCACATGCAGAAGAAATAAGTTGGAACTTCGCTCACACCATATATAAACATTAACTCAAAAATGGATCAAAAACCTAAATGTAAGAGTTAAAATTATAAAACTCTTAGAAGAAAACACAGGAGTAAATATTAGAAAGAAAAAGTAGATAAAATAGATTTTATAAGATTTTAAACTTTTGTGCTTAAAGGAAATTTTCTTCATCAAGAAAAAGAAAAAAAAAAAAAGAAAAAAAGAAAAAGAAAAGAAAATTTAAAATGGAAGAAAATACTTACAAATGAAATACACTGACGTATATCTAACAAGTATGCTGACAAATATACTGATGTATATCTAATGAGTACACAAATAGATTTACAACTCAATAATAAAAAGACAAATAATTCAATTTATAAATGGAAAAAGGATTTAATAGATATTTCAACAAAAGATGTTAACAAAATGGCCAAAGAACACATGAAGAGATGGCTCCATACCATTAGACATTAGTGAAATACAAATCAAAACCACAATAATTCATTCATTCACACCTTCTAGGATGGCTAAAATAAAACAGACAATAACAATGTTGACAAAGATGTGGAAAAACTGGGACCCCCCTACATTGCTGATGGGATTGTAAAATGGTGCATCAAGTTTGGAAAACAATACAGTAGTTCCTCAAAATGTTTAACAGCAAATTACAA